CTAATCACACGACGTTTTTGCGGGAAAGATAGGCTCCACATCCATTTCAAGTGCAAGACTTTTAGCTACATTCATACTAGTTGTAAAGCCTTCATCTCTATATTTTTCAAAGTAGGACATCACACCTTCTAGTTGCCTTATGGTAGTATCAATGCACATAGACTTAGATTGTAATTTCTTGCTTACCATATTAACAGAAAATAAAATGTCATACCAAATCACAACACCAAGCAAAAACTCAAAACTTGAGAGTGCATTCACCAAACTTTCAGCTTCACTTTTGAATTTGCATCATTTTCACAAGATTCATAATTCACAAAAGCCAATCTTATTGGGGACATTGAAATCTAATAGCTTTGACACTTTTAATTCGACTCTCCATCGAGTATTTGATAAATATTTCACAGTTAATCCAGGAACATTATCAAGTAAATTTTCCATCTCTTTGTAGAACCCGAAAACATGCATATATGCGTTGTAAAACTCCAAAAAAGAAATAGCTTAACACAAGAATGTGCCATATCACCAAGAGTGAGATTTAAACTATGACAAGCACAAGGCATGTATAATGCTTTTGGATTAATTTCAAGAAATCTTTTTTGAACACCTTGGTGCTTTCCTTTCATATTAGAACCGTTATCATAACCTTGTCCCCTCACATCATCAACATTAAGATCAAGAGACTTCAAAACATTTTGCAGTTCATTAAAGAGTCCTAATCCATATGTATCATCCACTTTTAGAACTCCAAAAAGAACTCCTCAATTTTAACTTTGTTATTTAATATATTAACACATCAAACTATGAGGTCATTTGTTCTTGATGGCTCACATCAGGCGTACAATCAAGAATGGAAAAGTATTTAGCCTCTTTAATCTTAATGATAGAATTTTTCACACTTTGAGACAAAGGGAATGAACTCATTTTGAATTTTATGTCCAAGATAATGATAATGAATTTCACGATCCTGAATGCGTCTAACATGATCTTGCATAATTACATCAAACTCTGCAATCATTTCAATCAATCCTAGAAAATTACCATTGTTATCTTGATATATTTTTTCATTGGATCCTCGAAATGCAAGATTATTTTTAGCAAGACATTTCACAACTGAGAATATTCTTTGTAACACTTGTCCCAACGCTCTTTCTCTTTCATAATCTTTCTTGCAATTTTTATCGATTGTTTGATTTTTATTCAATCTAACTCTCAATTCATTCCAAGTGTTCATATTAGTCATATGTTCAACACTATTTTCATGTTGTTTAAGTCTTTGGCTAATATGTTTTCCAATCACTTAAGCCATCATTTGCTAACAAACTTTCATTACTAATCGATTTGAACAACTTGCAACAAAACAATATATTTTGTCAACATTTTTAGAATAAACTAACCATTTTCTATCACTAGTCTCACCATTGCTCAACTTTCTAGAATAACATGCATATGAGAAATGTCTATAATTTATCAACAGGAAATTCAAGATCCATTTCTCTTATGGGCCCTTTTTCAACTAATATATCCCTCGCATTATTGTCAAGATTCTCCCAATTTATAGGATCATATATATTCAAATGAGAAGTGTTTCTTCACCAATGCCTAAATTTACAACATTTTCATCAATTGGCACATCATTAAAGTCAATTGGATCATTCACATTTTCAGAATTTCCAGAATTTTCAATATGCAATTTCAGTTGATTGATTCAAAGTTTCATGAGAATCAACATTTTTAAACACAAATTTATCAAGAGCACCTTTTTGTGACTTTTTTAACTCCTCATCTCGCTTTCTTTTTTCTTTTTTCACTTCCAAACAAATGATTTTAGGCAACATCTCATCAAAGAGTCAAACACAAACCAATTCTAATAAATAAGTATAAGAAACAATTGCACCTGGATTCTTCAATTAGAATTGTAACAATTGCAGCCAAATTCCCAATTTGATAATTGACACTGTTGACATAAATATTAATAGTTATAACATGAACACCCAAATAAAACATCAAAAAACATCAAGTAAACAGAGCCTTAGAAAAATTGTATCAATCATCGATTCATCCTTTTAAACATTTAAGTTATAACAAAAGTTTACTACACAGACAAATCATAATTTAAAACCAGAAATATATGCCAAAACTTTACTAGACAAATCATAATTTATTTTTTTCCCCTTCATTCAAGAGAATCAGAGAATACCAAACATTTTCTTTAATTTTTGAAGCAACACACAAACCAGAAATCAACAATACAAGAGTCTTTATCCATTCGTTTTTTTATTTCGAATACAACAATAAAAACAAAAATTTATAAAGCAAAATAGAGTCAAAGAGAAAGGGGAAAGCGTTACTTGTGAGTCATCGGAGCTTCCCATCGAAGTCAGGTTCATCGGAGCTTCCCATCGGCCATCGAAGTTTGGGTTCATCGGAGCAACAGAAACCAAAATTCAGGTCTCGGTTAAGGGCGTTTTGGCCTTATTTATGTGATTTTCAATTTTGATTTGGATTAAGGTAAATAGATCGGAGTGTTTAGGATGTTGTAGGCTTTGATGCTGAAGGTAAATAGAGTGGTGGCCGGTGAGATGTTGAAGGTTTTGGAGAAGGCGGATGTGAGTTGCAGAGAGAAATGGGGAGAGTAAAACGACTTTTAGTGCTTATTAAAGAAATGGGGCCACATTTTATAATTAAATGGTAAGAAAAATGGTACAATAACGTTCATGTCTGCCATAGTACTTATTAAATAAATGGGGGCCTATTTTATAATTGAATTGTAAGAAATTGTACCGTTCATGTCTGCCATAGTGCTTATTAAATAAATGGGGGCCCTATTTTATAATTGAATTGTAAGAAAAATTGTACAATCACGTGAATGCAATTGCCATCAACTTTTAGTGCTTATTAAAGAAATGGGGACCATGTTTTACAAATGCTTTAGAATATTTATATCCATTTCTTTTTACATATCTTCTAGGGTAAAAGATAAAAAAAATCTGAGTTTGTATCTTGTATCGACTTTCAAGAATGGGCCCCTTCCAAGAATGGGCCCTAGGCGGTCGCCCCCTACGCCTGGGCTCAGGGCCGGCCCTGGTGCCCTTGAAGTAGAACATCTCTGGTGCCTTCATCTTTAACCAAGCACTTCGATACAAGGAACTCAAATTAGACATCATTATCTCTAGCAAACTTAGATACGGAAAGGAGATTCTTAGTAACAATAGGAACATGAAGGAAAATATGAAGAAACAAAGCATGAGTTTGTGTGTTAAGAATAGTACATTCAGTCTTGTAAATATCTAGGTTATATCCATTATCTACAACCAACTTACCGGGATTAGTGTAGTCCGAGCTATTCGCCGCCTTTAAAGAATCGGGAGTGACATGATGTGCGGCGCCAGAGTCTACAACCCATTTATCCTAACTTGAAGAAGAAACATGAACTTGCGCTCGATTGTTACCATTTCACGTAAAGCATTCATTTCCAATATCACATGTACCGACATGCACAACAACAAAATCGTCTTTGGTAGCCAACACCGCTGGGAAGTTTTTATCAAAATGATGTCGGTATCTAACTCGAGTATTGTAGACCAAACATCAACTGTTGTCTCTGCCCCTAAAAACTGAGGAAGAAGCTGGTCACTAATGGTGGAAAGCAACCACGACGTTAATGCACTATCTTGTGCAACAAAAATCTCGTAGTCTTCATTAACAACCATATTGCCTTCAGCATTGTAGATCTTCTCCGGCGCGATTGCAGACCTCCAATGAGCAGTCTCTCCAACCGGTGACTCCGAATGGTTAAAAGCACTTGTTGTTTCCACAACAAGAAATTCATTTCATCAAGAACAATATTGATTCTCTTGTTAGTGAACGACCGGCCACCCCGCGAGAATTCTTCGAGATCAAGATGCTGACCAATATCACCCGTAGCCATTGAATCAAAAGGTAAGACGAGATCGATCAGGAAGAAAGAAGGGTTGGAACAAGGAGCAAAACAAATAACAAAGAAGAAAGGAAACAAAAACACAAATCAGAAAAGCAACGGAGAGAATATAGACCCAAAATTAACAGTAAAATATATCATGTTGAAAAGAACTTTATTAACAAACGCTCGATATGCTTACAATTAGCTCCAACTTTTATACACAGAGAGATGACAACAACTGCTTCCAAATTTGTTAAACCTTACTAACAAACTTACTGAGCTAAGCAACTCGCTAACTAACCAACTTGCTGAGTTGGCAAAAATATGCTTCCAGAATATACTGGGCATTAAAAATTTCGAATATATGTATTATGAATGTCAAAAACATTTAATATTGGCTTAAGGGTGAAAGTTTGTGTTTTTAGATAATCAAAAACAATATTAATCATATTCTTAGAAATTCTAAGAAAATTGAACTGCAGAGATGTTGATTTATATGATTTTCTCTAAAGCAACATATTAGGTAAGGAGTACTTGTTTCTTTGCAAGTTAATTAGTTGTTTCATGAGTAAATTACATCATCGGTAACTAATATTTGGTTAAATTTATTTTTCATACTTCTAAAGTTTAAAAAATTATATTATTATGAACCCATTCAGCTAGTAGTTAAAAGGAGTGTCGTTCTACTTAGAGATTTTGTGTTTATGCATACAAAATATATATATCTATTGTCAATTGACTAAAAATATTATAAACAAATATCAGCTTATAGTAAACTCGACGAATAAAAAAATTATCAACTCAGGCTGCCTGAAATGCATATCCTAGACATCGGCGTTGGCTTCGCATCTAGTCCCAAGTTTACCGAAGCAGCTTCCACCCACAAAAGCCCAACATGCAAAGGGATGAAAATATAAGTTTTTAGACCGACAGCGATCCGGTTGATATAGTATTCAAGGGTTTCGAATTGCCAGAACTGGACGTCAATGATGAAGAAAAATAAGTGGTATGGGCTAGTTTGATTACTAGCTTGTTTCTTGCCATCAATAATGAACAAAAACCCTAAAGCACGTATATAGAAGTGAAAAAAGCTGCGGCTATACACTCATAATAAGGTCGAACACAACTAACAAACTTTGATGCTACGTTTATCGTCATGCATTCTTTGTTTCTTAATGGAATTGAAGAAAAAGATGGGGTGAGAAAAATAAAAATGAACATTTGATTGTTGTTTTGTATTTTAAGAGAATAATTATAATATAGCTATTACTATGGAATATGTATTTGAAGTTAATTAACAGCCCTCAAAGTCTCTAACTGAGAAAGAACTCTTCTCGGGCATGTTTCCAGCATGTCGGAGCCCTAAGGTGAGTGAGACATCTCCAGTCGTGGTCCCCAACCTTATGAGTGTCGAACCGATGTCAGTGTTATTACCATGGGTGGTGGTGGTGGTCCCGTAACCGGTGCTGCCACCATGGGGAATGGGTGGCGCCACGTCAGTGGTTGTGGCCTTGAAGGCGGTGGGAGGAGGAGGACCAGTAGCAGTAATAATATTGTTGTTGTGGTGGATGCACTGTTTTGCTTGGATTACCGAGGAGCGTCGCCTATTGATTTCAAGGAGTGAAGGGTCGTTTTCCAGGACATTGATTTCGGATCTTTTGCCTCCTGCTGCTTCTGGTGCTGACGGCGTTGATGCTGCTGCTAAGCCTGCTGTTGTTGAAGGCGTCGATTTCTGTGCATTGTCGCTGTTGTTGCTCTCATTATCATCTTCATCCTCTTCTTTAATCTCTTGTTGGTACATATCTTCCACCATGGGTTTCCACAACCTAACCCTGGCATTTATGAACCAATTTGAAACCTGCAGATTACGCAAAACATTGATTTTTTTCATCTCATTAAATTCCCAGGGCTTATTATGTTGTTAGCTATATTTTACCTCAATAATGTCTGTTCTTACACAATGCTCCAAGAAAACTTGAGCACTGTCTAATAGCAGGCATGATTATTAATGACCCCGAAACCTTTGCATGTTTTTTTTTTCATTTTGGCTTTCATGCAAAGTATATATAGCAGTTTTAACTTAAACCTAACTGAAATAAGTATATTACTGTTAATTTATATCATGGTTTGCGGAGCAAGAAACTATAATGGAATTCGTCAAAGTAAAAGGTAGCTAAAAAGTAAATGAATTCTATAACAATGTGTTGGTAAAAAAAAATGCAGGTTAAAAACTTTCCTGCTCTTTACTTTGGGGCTTTATCGTGTTTTTGGAAGGGTAAATAAGATAGAGAGAGAGAAATGGAAGATAGAGAGAGAAATGGAAAGCTGCAAACTTTTTCATGTCTCATCTCTTTGTGTACTTTGTCCCTGCATGCCCTTTTAAGTAAATAATAAATAATAATAATAATAACCTGCTAAGTTCCTTCACCATTCAGTATTTAAGTCTTTCTATTTCAGAAACCAGAATCTATGTCGTTATATATATAATTATTTTCTAAAATTGAATCTAAAATTAAAGGGGAAAACAAAAGAAATTTCTCAAAACAGTCGAGTAGAAAAATCAAATAAATTAAACCTAAATCCATGCAAAATTACTGAACCTACTGATGGTTCCTTCCTATGGTTTTCCTTATCTTTTATTGGTTCTTACAAAGTAGTGTTGGGTTTTTTTTTGGTACCATTAATTGCAAGCTCTTATGTTATGTCAATGAATATATTTATAAATTTACGAGAACCAACCTGATTTTTCGATAAACCAGTCTGTCGAGCCAGCAGAAGCTTATCAGCATCGCTTGGGTATCTGAAAGAGAAGAGAAAATGACATCAGAGTCGTTGCCAATAATCCATCAGATGTGATTGCAGCCTATCCTGTTTTTCTTTCATTCCCTGTATGGGCGCGAGAATCTAAGACAAGGAAACATCATCAGCAACACCGCTTCTTTTTTATTTTCTTCAGCTACTTTCAGCATCTCTCAGTATTTTCATTTATATCACTCCTCCTTTATTACTACAGTAGTAAAAAAAAAAAAAAAGTTTTTTTGTTTGTTCATGAACTATGACAAGATGATCTGAAAGAGAGAGAGAGACTGACAGAGAGAGAGAGAGAGAGAGAGAGGACTGTCATTTCTGTGAAATTATGCCCGAATAAAGTTGCTAACTAATACCTGGGTCTGTTAGTCACAAAGTAAAGCTATACATATATAAACATCTAAGGTTATCATAAGAAAGAAAGCTGAGAGGGAAATTAATGAAGGTCATTAGCCAGCTTTTGGCAACATCCAGGGAGAGCCTGCACTATTGTTTTTTCCCTGCACACTAAATATACTTATGATAGATTGTTGTTTCAAGTTCCAGCTTTTTAGCTTTTAAAAAATATTAGGAAGATGCAGATTACTAGTGCTAGAGGTAAAAGCAAAAGCAAACACGTACGGGTGAAGAAAATGCTCGAAAAGCCAAGCTCTCAAAATGTAGACAGAACGTTCAGGCAAGCCCCTTTGAGGTCTCCAAGCTTCTTGTTCCATCATCCCCATTTGCTGGAAAGGGTATGTTCTTTGGTGTCTTAAGCTTTGCTCCAACATCTTCAATCTCGGTGTCTCTCCTTTTGTTATGCCGGAGTTTGCAGCAGCATCTTTCTCGCCCAGTACCTCACAGCTTTGCTGCAGCTGTGCTAATATCTCATCTTTCAAACACTTAAAATGCCTAGACATTGCCTTCTTAGCGAGTGCAGTATAAGGCACTGCTGCATCGAAACCCATCGCCAGATCAAACGAGTTCACCACGGTCTGCATTTGTTCACAGTAATGGTTGTATCTCCGGTCCACCTGTTATATCAGAAATTTAACGACCCCCAATAATCATTTTGACTTGACTAGGTCAAGGAATCAATGCATGAATTCAAAGCTTCCTATACAGTGAAATGATTGTTAAACGGAAAGTGGGGGTAAAAAAAAAGAATATCCTTTGGCCAATTGATGGGATCGTGTGAGTAAACGAGAGAGAAACAGTATAAGAAAATGAAAGGAAAAGGAAAGAACAACTGCTTTATCCATAGTCAACCAAGTTATAATATTAATGTCTTTTCCTGCAATATTAATATTATTATGATTGTTATAAACGGATCTCAGGTAACAGTAGCTACAGAATTATTATTCTGATATATACGTAATAAGGTGCAACGAATATGTCATGCTTATTAGGATTGCCAACAAGTTATCTGATTTTTAAATTCTTATTACCAAACCATAATTGACTAAGTACCAACTAGACCTATGAAGTTCTGTTGCACCAGCCGGCTTTGTTGTGTATCTGGGTTTTTTCTTTAAAAATGGCGGCCTGGAGTTTCTTACTTGTGCTTGAAAGAATTATAAAAAGATTGTGTCTTTGGTTCTTTGAAAGGGAGAAAAGATAGAGAAAGATAAAAGAGATTACATGCCTCATCAAGCATGGTTAAAAGTTTGACCTTCCTCCTTTGATGTTCATTCCTATCAGCTGCTGATACAGGGAGGGGATCTTTTGTTGATGAAGAAGAACCGCCTTCACCTCCTGGATTAGAATTAGGGTTTGTGTTGTTTTTACCAAACTTGTTCTTCTTGAACTGGCCTCTCCCAACACTACAGAATTCTTCCAGTAACTCTTGAGAAGCTTTGGCGTACTTTGAATTTCTCAACGCATTGACCATTAACGAGGGTCCGAACCCGGCATGAACTTGCTGGTTTTTCCCCGCTCCACCTTGCAAATGCAGTGACTGATGATGATGACTGGCCAAATTCTTGTAATGAAATTGAGCAGCAGCAGAAGATCCCGCTTCTTGACTATAGAACAGTGAGCCACTATTTCTCGTCCTCAATTCTTCAGCTTTGGCAGCCTCCAAGCGTTGCAAAGAAGATGATAAGGAAAGTGAAAGGCCACCTCCGATTTGACTCGAGTTGTTGAGTTGGGAACCAGTGTTATCTCCTTCATGAGCAGCATTAGGAACCCAAACAGTACTTATATCGAAAGGCTCCCCTCCTGGACCTGATACAGTAAACGCTTGAAGAGAAGCAGATGAATTCGGAAGCAACATATGGAAAGTATTAGAAGTTGATGGAGGGGATGGCGATCTTGGCTTCGGATTCATCATGAAAAGATTCATGGCAGCTGCGGAGTCGGCATTAAACGGCTGATGTAGCTGTTGAGTTGCTAAAGTGTCACGGTTATCATGACTCTTTGATTCACCTACCAGGCCCAAACCCCCAACACCACCTTGCCTATTGCTAAACCACTCGTTGGTATTACCCGGAGGCCTGTTTTCTCGATAATTAGGCAGCATATGTTGGTCTAATAACTCGGCCGAGGCCGTCACACCGGAAGGAAAGTTGAACAAGTCAGATAACACACCTTCGGCTTCATAAACAGGAAGAGAATTCAATGCTTCCACTTCGAGCCCTACTAATGGTATAGTTGACGCCTCAAAGCCTTGGACTCTTAGTTTATCTCTCCGGATCTGCTGGGCTAAGTGTTGCTGTTGGTGGCTCATGGCTGATCTCTCGAAACCATTCGAGAAGCTGAAGATTCCAGATGCTTGGCGGTAATCTTGGGACATAGAATTTGCAGAATGATTACTCTTGGAGTGCTGAGAAATAATTGATGGGACGACCGGTGATGTAGCTATCCCCATATCGATATCTTCTTCATGATCCTATATATATATATATTTCCTTTGCTTATTTTCTCTCCTTCTACCAACCCTCAAACTCTTCTTCCCCTTCACCTTTGTTCACTTCAATTACGAATCGGCAACCCATAAACAAAAACAAATAAACACCCACCTTGAAATTAGTGTTATTCATCATAAACAATACCAAAAATCATCAAACAAAAAGAAAGATACAGAAAGGGAAGGAAAAAAGGAGATCAAACAGTAGCTATTAAGTGAAAGATATGAACTGAGCTTTGATGTTCATATATATAAATGAGAGTATGTAAGAAGACCTTAGGTGCAGAGCATGTAAAGCTCATAGACATCGTTTTCTCTTTCTGTGTAGTACTGTAAGCTTCTTCAACTCCCTCCCTCCTTTCTTTTCTGTTCTCTCTCTTTCTCACTGTTTATCTGTGTCGTCTCTTTCTTTCTCTCTCTTCTTTTCTTACCTCTTTGTTGCTCTTTGCATTTGTGCTTTTTTTTATCTGTCTTCCCTTGTTGAAAAGGGGAGATGAAACATATATGGGGGAAAATGAGGTCGAGAGAAACTGATCTCTCTTGCTCAATAAAACATGTAATGATAGCCTCAGCTTTTTCCCGGAGAGGGAGAGAGAGAGAGGAGGAGAAAAACAAAAGTTAGCCTTTTTTTTTTAAAAAAAGGATATAGTTAGTAGGTAAATTTTATACTATTAACAATAAATAATATGGTATTCCATGTCTAGCAAAATACTATTAATTATTAAAAAAAATTAATCATTTAAATTTATTTTTAAGACTTTTATATTAGACTATTTAAATTTTCTTCATTTGCAAATTAAGAATAATAAATATTGAATTTTATATTATTTTATATATTACATTAACAATAATATTAATCAAGTTTAATTAGTTAAATTTAAATTTTAACTTTTTTCTTACTTTTTAAACTTTCTCTAGTTTTTGTTAATTTTTTATCCTCAAATTGAAAAAGAAAATAAGTCAAGTTAAAGTATGACACAATATAGAGATTTAATTCTACAAAATATATTTAAATTATGAATTAAAATTTTAAATTATCAACACCCTTCCAATCAAATTCTTATATTAATCATTTTATTAATTATTTAGATGTCTTACATAGATGGAAAAATGACGCCAGACAGAATAGTGATTATCCTGCAGGCGCTCCAACAGATGATTCACAAGAGAAAATTTGCCTAAAAAAAACTAGAGAAAAAAAGTCTCTAGGGTTTAATAAAATATTATAAATCAAACAATCCCCAAAATCAGTCCACAAGCTGGACTGTTATAGCCAAAAATCGTCTTTATTCGAATTTTGCCAAAAATAGAAAATCCCGAAAATCACTCTAAATTGAAATTCGAAATAAAATAAGCAATCTCCAAAAAAATCCGGCCTAAATCGGATTTAAATTGACTTTCTAATTGACAATCGAAATATTACCATAAATAGTAAAAAATATCTAAATCTAGCGATTCGGAGGGGAAAACGACAGAATTTGAGGTTGAAAAAAAGGTCATATGGAGCATAGCTCGATGTGGAGAGCGTGCGCGTCGAAAAGAGCTTTCCGGATTGTGGTCTTATGCGCGATTCTGACACCTGTAGCCAAAGTTATGGCCAAAAGACTGAAACATACTCAAAACGACCCTAATGAGGAATATATCACAATCAATTCCCGCCTTTGCGCTGATCTGCCAATAAAAATATGTGGCTATTTAAAAATTATTTTAAAATTTGCGGTTGTCATTCATTGAGACAATGAATGACGTGATGAGTCAGATGGATGAAATAATTTCTCCAATTGATGACATATCTTACAATGTATTTGTGCCACATGTTATTTTCTTTTTCTTTTTCACTTTATTATTTTTCTTTTCATTACTCTTTTATTCCTATTTTTAGAATAATAAAAATAAAAACATATAATACTTTATGTTATAATCACCATTAAATTAATTATCATTTATAAAAAATAGTTGATCTCCGCGATATCGTTATTATCATCCCCACTAAATTAATGATCATTTATATAATAAAACCTAAATTTTAATACCCATTTATAATTTTAAAATATAAGTATCTAAAAAATACTTGAAAATAACTTGATGACCTCTTTATGAAGTTTACCCTAAATTATTATTAATTCGTTAAGCCGCCATTGTAACAATTGTTTTCTGCCAGTTGATACTACCAAAGCACTATTTGTCGTAAATATTTAAATTGTTAGTATTTTTTTTATTTTTTAATTAAATCAGATAGAGGAGAAAGAACTGAACTTCTCTTTCACTTCACAATTGTGTAATTAGCACATTTATATAGCCAATTTGGGAAGTGAAATCCCATACAAACTTGGGGTTTTAATTAATACTTTCACTTGGTTGAATCCCTTAACTACAGTTAGGAATATGAATTATGAAATAGCGTTAGCGTTTAGCCAGGTAGTGTTTATGTACCACTACGTAATAATGGAGATGATCTACCTTGTACATGACTTATGATCGTCTCCTTCTCCCCATGCATTGAAGTCCGCTTATAAATTCAGCTAATGTCTTTCAGCTGGACAGAAAGTAATTACGGATACTGAATTCATTTTCATGCAAAGTGCAGAGAAAAATGGACCAAAAACACACGTCACCCCAAACTTAAGTGAAAATAAAGGTGTCTAATTTGCTATAAGGGGAATCAAACCAATGTCAAAGGCAATAAGAAAGGATTTGGGCGCTTGAACCATTAGGCCAAAGGTTCCCAAAGGTTTAAATTATGTAACAAATAATATTTGTACTTTAAAAGCTTGTTAATGATAAAAAAGTAAAAATAAAAATTAGAAAAATATTAGGTTTGTCTAATTATTTATGTGATATTTTATTTTATAATTTATGTAGGTTCTAATTCTAATTCTATTTCTTTTATTTCTATTTTATTTTACCACTAACAAGCCTTTAAAGGACAAATACTATTTGTGGCATAATTTAAACCATTTAGAATCTTTGGTCCTATGGTTCAAGTGTCCAAATCTTTCCTTGTTGCCTTTGACGCTGGTTTGATTCCCCACGAGTGAAAATTAGACTCCTTTATTTTCACTTCATTCGGGGTGACATGTGTCACCTCCTGATTGGATAAAAAATAATTTAATTAAATAAATTAAAATTTATAAATAAAATCTTTAATCATATATTGATATGTGTCACTTTCTGATTGAATGATTACTTTATTAAATTAAATTTAAATTCGGACCAACTTGGTAGAATATATAAATAATAAGGACTAGATGTTAAATTATGTCAATTTTTTAACTGTTACGTCGGTAGTTCCATTATTTGTTAATGGTAAGTGGTTTTATTGAACATAATTAAATAGTTAAGTGGTCTGATTGAATATAATTAAATAGTTAAGTGATCTGATTGATAAAATTAAAAAATCAATGATAAAAGTGAAAGGGATACATAATTAAATAATCAATGGTATAGTTTACCCTCTAATCTTACGTGTCAACGGTGGGAGAGAAATATCTTTACACCCTTGCCACATCCTTACATCCGTCAAATCATTAGACATTTTTAATATAAATTAATTATGTGATTAATCATTTATATTTATATTTTGTTTATCTTTTTATATTTATTTCAAAAATTAAAATATATGATCACTCTAGAATTTATTTAATTAAGACATGACCATTATAAATTAATTATTGTTATTATCATATTAGGTGATACGATAATTAAATATTTTGATATATAATCATACATTTGATCCCTATTATTTATATATTATATCAATTTAATCGTAATTTTAATAAACTAATATAAATTTAATCCTCTAATCAAATAGTATCACGTGTCATCATTCGGTTGGAGAATTAACTTTATTTTAATTTTATTTTTATAAATATATTTTTATTACATGATTGGTGTAAAATAAATATATTAAATTAAAATAAATTAAAATAAAGTTAGTCCTCCAACCGAATGGTAACACATGACATGACATGACATGTGACCCTAGTGACATTGCATCATTTGATTGAAAGATTAAATTTATTTTAATTTATTAAAAGTGTGACTAAATTAAAAGAAAATGTAAATAATATAAAATAAATGTGTGATTATACTAAAATACCACATCACCTAACATGTTAAGTGTTAACAACAATTAACTTGTGGTGACCACATCTTAATTAGATAAAAAAAACAAAAGTGATCATATCTTAACTAAATAAAATTGAAAGTGATCGTATATTATGTTTTTTGAAATCATTGGTGAAAAGTGAACGAAAAGCAAACATAAGTGATTAATCATGTAGTTAATCCTATTAATTTTTTTTAAAAACTATATTTTGTTTAATAAAAGCATCTTATTTTATCCTTAACAATTAACTAAGCCACCACCCTTTGCCATGCACTCCCAATCCAAACTAAATCCTAATCTTCTTTTAAAATTTAATAAGTTTATGTGTATATTGCATCGCTTGTTTATGTTTGAGGGGAAAACACAAACAAAAAAATATGGAAACAATCTTTGGTTGAATTTGAGCAGAACAAAAATCATATAATGTCTGATTACATTTTTTTTTTATTTTGTTTCTTCACTGTATAAATCATCAGTTTCCAAAATATTTGTCACATGGTGTTTTAACCCCGCAAACCAGACAAGGGTTGAAGGCATAAATTTGTTTAGAGGTCGACATAAATTTATAAATTTTGAAATAATAAAAAAAATTAAGAGAGAGAGAGAGAGAGGGGGAGAGAATAGACTGAATTGTTATGTGTTAGAGGTCTTCGTTTAATAAAGGATTGGATTGATTAAATTGAGTGTTTTCTTTGAAAGAGACTAAAAAACAATATATTATTTAAAAAATTAATTAAACTATAACGTAATTGTAGTATCTATTCTAAATATTATTGATTGTTTAATTATAATTATTTAATGACCTTTGTAGTCGCTGATATTTGAAACGTGATTTTTAAAAATAATAATATTTTTTACCGACTGAGACAATTTAATTTATACAATATAAAATTATATTTTTAAATTAACCAAATAGTTAAAATAAATCCATTTTATTCTTTCTCGTATTCTCTTATTTTTTTTAAAATACTTTTTGAATTTACCAAACAATTAATAATCAATACTGAAATTGAGATAAGAAGTGGGATAAATTAGGAAAAAGAAAAAACATGGGTGATGAGTGTTTCGGTTTATGGTGGATGGGCCCATAAATGAAAACGACCCCAAATTATAGAGAGCACGGCGTGGCACTTCTGATAAATAAAAAATTGAAAACCTTTTTTTTTTGAAGTGAAAAAAAAAATTGAAAACCTTTCAAGACTGTATTATGTCTATGAGGTGGTCCAGAATTCCCATAAGGTGGCCCACGTGGCACGGCCGGCAAAGTGTGGCCGAGGCCACGTGGGAACGGTGGTCCATGCAGATATCAAAGTATTTGAAAACAACACGTGGAAGATAAAGAGAGGTGACAGGCTGTTTATCAGGACGCGTGTGTGTGATTTTTGTTGATTATAGTTGTGCGAAGGAAGGATAAATGGATTATCCATCGTAACGACTTCGTTTTTATTATTTTTTGTTTTAAGGCAAAAGTTAAATTGGATCACTTTT